GTTGCCAGTGTGTGGAGGTATGTTGCCAGTGTGTGGAGGTATGTTGCCAGTGTGTGGAGGTATGTTGCCAGTGTGTGTGGAGGTATGTTGCCAGTGTGTGGAGGTATGTTGGCAGTGTGTATGAAGGTATGTTGCCATTGTATGAAGGTATGTTGCCAGTGTGTGTGGAGGTATGTTGCCAGTGTGTATGAAGGTATGTTGCCAGTGTGTGTGGAGGTATGTTGCCAGTGTGTGTGGAGGTATGTTGCCAGTGTGTGTGGAGATATGTTGCCAGTGTGTGGAGGTATGTTGCCAGTGTGTGGGGGTATGTTGCCAGTGTGTGGAGGTATGTTGCCAGTGTGTATGAAGGTATGTTGCCAGTGTGTGTGGAGGTATGTTGCCAGTGTGTGTGGAGGTATGTTGACAGTGTGTATGAAGGTATGTTGCCAGTGTGTGGAGGTATGTTGCCAGTGTGTGTGAAGGTATGTTGCCAGTGTGTGTGGAGGTATGTTGCCAGTGTGTGGAGGCACGTTGCCAGTGTGTGGAGGTATGTTGCCAGTGTGTGTGGAGGTATGTTGCCAGTGTGTGGAGGTATGTTGGCTGTGTGTATGAAGGTATGTTGCCAGTGTATGAAGGTATGTTGCCAGTGTGTGTGGAGGTATGTTGCCAGTGTGTGTGGAGGTATGTTGCCAGTGTGTGGAGGTATGTTGCCAGTGTGTGGAGGTATGTTGCCAGTGTATGAAGGTATGTTGCCAGTGTGTGGAGGTATGTTGCCAGTGTGTGGAGGTATGTTGCCAGTGTGTGGAGGTATGTTGCCAGTGTATGAAGGTATGTTGCCAGTGTGTGGAGGTATGTTGCCAGTGTGTGGAGGTATGTTGCCAGTGTGTGGAGGTATGTTGCCAGTGTGTGTGGAGGTATGTTGCCAGTGTGTGGAGGTATGTTGGCAGTGTGTATGAAGGTATGTTGCCATTGTATGAAGGTATGTTGCCAGTGTGTGTGGAGGTATGTTGCCAGTGTGTATGAAGGTATGTTGCCAGTGTGTGTGGAGGTATGTTGCCAGTGTGTGTGGAGGTATGTTGCCAGTTTGTGTGGAGATATGTTGCCAGTGTGTGGAGGTATGTTGCCAGTGTGTGTGGAGGTATGTTGCCAGTGTGTGTGGAGGTATGTTGCCAGTGTGTGTGGAGGCATGTTGCCAGTGTGTGTGGAGATATGTTGCCAGTGTGTGGAGGTATGTTGCCATTGTGTGTGGAGGTATGTTGGCTGTGTGTATGAAGGTATGTTGCCAGTGTTTGGAGGTATGTTGCCAGTGTGTGGAGGTATGTTGCCAGTGTATGAAGGTATGTTGCCAGTGTGTGGAGGTATGTTGCCAGTGTGTGGAGGTATGTTGCCAGTGTATGAAGGTATGTTGCCAGTGTGTGGAGGTATGTTGCCAGTGTGTGGAGGTATGTTGCCAGTGTGTGGAGGTATGTTGCCAGTGTGTGTGGAGGTATGTTGCCAGTGTGTGGAGGTATGTTGGCAGTGTGTATGAAGGTATGTTGCCATTGTATGAAGGTATGTTGCCAGTGTGTGTGGAGGTATGTTGCCAGTGTGTATGAAGGTATGTTGCCAGTGTGTGTGGAGGTATGTTGCCAGTGTGTGTGGAGGTATGTTGCCAGTGTGTGTGGAGATATGTTGCCAGTGTGTGGAGGTATGTTGCCAGTGTGTGTGGAGGTATGTTGCCAGTGTGTGTGGAGGTATGTTGCCAGTGTGTGTGGAGGCATGTTGCCAGTGTGTGTGGAGATATGTTGCCAGTGTGTGGAGGTATGTTGCCATTGTGTGTGGAGGTATGTTGGCTGTGTGTATGAAGGTATGTTGCCAGTGTGTGTGGAGGTATGTTGCCAGTGTGTGTGGAGGTATGTTGGCTGTGTGTATGAAGGTATGTTGCCAGTGTTTGTGGAGGTATGTTGCCAGTGTGTGGAGGTATGTTGCCAAAATCCAAACCTTGGGTTACAGGATCTCATCGAGTGTTTTTAAGATTTTACATATCGGCTAAAGAGTCATAAAACCCACATCTTGGATCAACAAATACTTGTATACATGATTTAGACGGCACGGGAGGGTGGAATGGCGGATCTTACACTGTATATAACATTTATTATCATTTTACATTATTTATTAAGTTTTTTAATTGAAATTAACTTTCATTGACAACCTTAAAAGGAGTTATACACCAGTTTATAACACAAACACGTCTTCATGAATATCACACCATTTCAATTAGTTTGCAGTATTAAAATGACAAACATCAACACGTTTTATTATTTAATCAAAGAACATTCAGAATATGTAAATAAATTATTTTTAAAACTAATCTGTCAGAGAAGTGTCAACACTAAATGATTCTAAACAATATCACTATGATGTGGAGGCCCAACCACAACGGTGCATCCGTTACGAGGACATATTTCATGTTCCTAGTTGTCCGTGTCGCATTCTTTTAATTACACATCCTGAGCATCCAAAGTGAACTTTTATTAACATATTGATTATTGTGTAGGATGTGTTTCATCATTTAAGTATTTAGGTGTTATGTTTTCAAGACCTTTGTTTGGGAGTAAACATTTACCTTATCACTGTATGCATACTAATCGAGTTCTTTTTTGTTGAATGAAATCTCAGTGTGAATACACAATGCCATGAATGCCACTGTGTATTCACTGCTTTCGGCCATGGGAGCCATGCCCATTTACACTTGTCAGAGGGGTACACAAAGAATGTGATCTAGACTACAAATTGTCAGACTTTCCTTTTTGTGGAAGCCTCGGTGGCTGGGTGGGTTGGATCGGTGACTTTGTGTGCTGGCGATTATGTGCCTCACTCTGGCAAGTGTGGGTTCGAATCCATGACGGGACTCAACCAAAAAAAAGTACGAGAATCTGTACTTTACTAAGAAAGTGTTATCCCAAATATAACATTTGTTACATTTGACCACTTACTAAATGGCATTGTGTATTCAGTGCTTTCGGTCATTGGAGCCGTGCCCATTTACACTTGTCAGAGGGGTACACAAAGTATGTGATCTAGACTACAAGTTGTCGGACTTTCATTTCGGATCGCTGACTTTGTGTGCTGGCGATTGGGTGCCTCACTCTGGCAGTGTGGGTTCGAATCCCGGATGGGGCTCAACCCAAATAACTACTACAATCTGTACCTCTACCATGAAAGTGTTATTCCAATTATAGCATTTGTTAAATATAAACCCTTATAAGACATTCTTCAAAATATTTGATTCCAAATTGTGTCTCGTGTTATCATATGCTGCTGAAATATGGGGCCTGGATATTGTTGAATGAAATCGAAGATGTATAGCGCATAAACTCAGGACTGCTGATATATTAGTGTAAATAGGAATGATAGACAGTGTATTTTATGTAAGAAAGCATATTTAGAAGATGAATACAGTAAACTACGTTTATAACTAACACGCTTATAACGAACCGGCGGATATAACGAACTGTTGTTTGGGTCCCGTACATTTGCTGTATATATGCTTATAACGAACTGCGGTTATAACGAACTAAAATTAAACACTATGGCCGATATCATGTGATGAATATACGCCTTAGAATTGTTGTGTTGATAAGAAACAAGCCTGGGTATCGGGAAGAAAGGGACATCCTTGTTGCCGGGAAATAGACGCCGGCTTTCAAAATGCGAGCTATTCTACGCCCGTGATTCGCTGTGCAGAGTTGCGTCCCTTGGGCACGCCAGAAACCTATGATTGTGGGTTCGAATCCCGGTTCGCCCTGATTATGTTTCTAGGTTTGTCAGCACCATACCCGTGCTCGTGGGTTTCACCGAAGTGGTAAACGTCTGAGACCTGCATCACTTCGAGCTTTCCTCCCACATTAAGCTGACACGCCGTGATATAACTGGAATAATGTTAAAAGCGGCGTTAAACGAAACTCACTCACTCACACACTATTCTACGCCTTAGTCAACAATATTCCAATCTGTAAGATCTTGAATCTGTCTGCACACAATGTTGACAGTTCCTGCCCTCGTGTGAGGTAATGTTTTAAGTTAGTCGATTGCTTTCGCCACGATTATGTTTCTAGGTTTGTCAGCACCATACCTGTGCTCGTGGGTGTCACCAAAGCGGTAAACGTTTGAGACCTGCATCACTTTAGGCTTTCCCCCCACATCAAGCTGATGCCACGTGAACACTGTTCAAAGCGGCGTTAGACCCAGCTCATTCACTCACCGATTTTGTTTTGTCATTGAAATAAAATCTATCAGCCTCACCTTCTCAATAGTATTGTTTGTTTATTTGTTATTGAACGTCGAACTCTTGCACATCTAGTTTGGTCCAAGTATGTTTCCTAACTGTTTACACTCAGCAATATTCCAGCTATATGACGGCAGTATGTACATAGTCGAGTCTGGACCAGACAATCCAGTGATCATCATGAGCATCGATCTGCGCATTTGGGATACGATTACATGCATCAACCAAGTCAGCGAGCCTGACCACCCGAACCCGTTAGACGCCTCTTACGAAAAGCATGGGTCGCTGACCAATTCTAACCCGAATCTTCACGGGTCCTGAACGGCGGAAATAATATACTTCATCGAACCTCGTTGTGTCGAACCTGGATATGTCGGATTCCCGATTGCCTCGAACTCATTAGGGTGTCCCAGTAATCAATTTAAGTATAAAATTCCCCTGATGTCTCGAACCCCGGATAAGTTGAACTTTTTTCCATGTCCCCATGAGTTCAACACAACGAGGTTTGACTTTAGTTGGTTTTAATATGTCATTAGTAAAAACGATTTATACACGTGAAACATTTGCATACATAAATGCATTATGATTTAGAAAATGACATCAATATTTATAAAAACACAGTCTAAAATAGTCGAAATAAAACGTCAAACCAACAGGGGCAGTTATATTCGTATTTAACACTAACATGAATTTACACTTCCGAATCACTGAAAGGTTAGTGATGACTCCATGGGATTGCAAAACAAATCAGCACGGTCTGTCCTTCTGGTAACGATCGTGGTCAAGACGACAAATGTAAAGGTCAAGGTCACGCTACAGTGTAACAGTTCAAACTCTAGCAAATGATCACTCAGTTGTTGGCTGAAAAAGATCTTTTCATTGGTGTCGCTTAGGATGTTTTTCAGGGGTAGGGAGCGGGTAGTGTCTGAAAACGTAAGGAAATAGGTGTCTCATCCTACATTGAACCCTGAGCAGGGAGCTCCAGGAGATCTTTCATTGAAGGCACCTGACTTTTTATTGGCTGATAACTGCTTCAGGTATTTCGTGTCACGCTTCCCCAAAGCTGAGTCAGTTCCTGCCGGAATCGAACATTACAGAAGCTGTAGAGGATAGGATTGGAGACAGAGTTGATGAAATACGACCTCAGGAACACGTTGTAGGCAACGAATCCAACTCCGTGAAGGTCCTCAAACACGTTCTTGTTCACTGCTCTAGTTACCATCAGACCCAGATGAGGAAGAAAGCTCAGCACAAATACCAGAGTGATGAGAAACAGCATCCTTGTTGTCTTCTGGGATCCTTTGTCACAATGTGACGATGTGCAGGTAGAGAAGGATTTTCTTCTCCCAAACGTGGAGAGTCTTCTGTTTGACTTTGATCCGAGAGTTGATGTGGCTTCAAGTGGGCATTTACTGTCGTTCTTAAATGATTCCAATGTTGGCATTTCAGATGTCCTTTCGGAATTGCCTGAATCGACTTTATCTGAAGACATGTTTGGTTCACCTTTGGCTGACGGGCTATGATCATCCCCCGATCTCTTTGCGATTGGTGTTGGTGTGGCTTTGTGTTGCATCTTCCTTTCAATGGTTAGATCATTTTCAACACTGTTTGAATTATTCTTCTTGCAAGATGGCATGTCCAATTCGCCTATTGAGGAGAGGTTTGATGTCTGAGTGATCTTATTTGATGTTATTATTCCTGGTTTGCTTTCAAGTTCCATGTTTACGTTGCATTGTTTGCTCGCTTTCAGACGCCTGTGTTGCATGGCAACCCGCCGCCATATTAAACCATAGAGTACAGAGAGACTGAGTGTTGAGGAAAAGAAGATGAAGAACTGGACTCCATTGTAGATGAGAGGGTAGGGCGTCCTGATGTAGTCGTCTGATATAGTGCAACCGGAACCATTTATATGAATGTCACCTGTCATCACAGTTCTTGAACCATAGAAACCTAAAGTCGGTAATGATAGTGTGAATGTTGTGAGCGAACAGAGAGCAATTGTGACTTTGGCCGCCAGTAGTGTCGTCTGTTTGTGAAATAAGCGGCATATCTTTCTATACCTGTCAACTGCGACAGCCACCAGTATGGTGGCTGACGCAAATGCTGAGAATGTTTCAAGGAACCGCAGTATCAAACACAATTTAGACTGTCCAAATGTGTAGTTGTACCTTATGTCTGCTATCTCAGTGGGGATGCAAATGACACAAATTACAAGGTCAAACGTTGCAAGTGCCAGGATATAGCATCGAAGAGCGCTTTGCTTAAATTTCACAAGATACACGTAGCAGACGAGAGAGTTTCCAACGAAGCCAACCAACATCAGAATGGAAAGAAACAGGATGACAGGCAATGCTCTTAGGGTGTACTTGTTGTCATGATCACGAAGATAAAGGTCGAGGTCGTATTGAAGGTGACTGGAATTCAGGCTGGACATTGGCGTTGAACTTGAATGCTAAATAAAACAAAAATGTGACGTGCACTGTGTTATCCAGGGTTAGTTGTAGCAAAATAGACCGAGCTAGTTCAGCCTGTGCTGTTAGTTAAGTTCATGTAAATACACTACTCAATCCCCTTGGGTTCATTGCTGTGCAGAGTTGCGTCCCTTGGGCATGCCAGAAACCTATGATCGTGGGTCCGAATCCCGGTTCGCCCCTATTTTGTTCCTAGGTTTGTGAGCACAATAACCGCTCTCGTGGATTTCACCAATGTGGAAAACATCTAAGACCTGCATCACTTCTGGCTTTCCCCTCACGTTATGTGAGTCTAGGTTTGTGAGCACAATAACCGCTCTCGTGGATTTCACCAATGTGGAAAACGTCTAAGACCTGCATCACTTCTGGCTTTCCCCTCACATTATGTTCCCAGGTTTGTCAGCACAATAACCGTTCTTGTTGGTTTCATCAAAACTGTAAACTTCTAAATAAAAGCGACAAAACCCTATCCATATCCATATGAATTCCAGCCAAAAGCAGAGCCGATTGTACGATTCCGACTATATCATGAGCATGTGTCCATGAATCACTGTCAAATACCTGCATCACTTCGGGCTTTCCTGCCACATTAAGCTGACATGCCGTAATGTAACTGGAATAGTGTTCAAAACGGCATTAAAACCAACTCACTCACCCACTCACTCACTCAATTTCATTTTATTTTTAAAAATAGAACTGACATTTTGTGTGTATGTATGTGTGTGACACGCCGTGATATAACTGTAATACTGCGTTAAACCCAACTCACTCACTCACTCACGTATTAAATAGTGAAACGTCTGTGAATAAACAAAAGGGGGAAGAAAAATCGACATCAGTCTCGCCGACATGACACTTCATAAAATACGTTCGCATTCACAACTTCTGTATTTCATGTGAGTTAAAAATCAATGGATATTAACAATATCGTCAAGTTTGTCAAGCACAGATGCACCCTTAGAATGATATGTCTTCAGTATTTTTCTCTCTTTTTAGAATATTTTAGATAGAGTGTGAAAACAGAGGCGTAAGTGTCCTCTGATATACTATCAAATCCACATTAGAAAAGAATATTGAAGTAAAATATTAAATCTTATTAATTCAGAAAAATTATATGAATTATATATTGTTTCGTTTTACTCGTTTTTATATTTCAGATGATATGCATTCGATAAAGGTTAGCTGTGAATCGGTCACTAATTTACAATAGAACAAAGACCAAAATTATTTTAACAAACATGCTACAAATAATTGTGATTACAAAATTACATATTAATCGATACCTTGGAAAATGTAACCAGTAAACTTTATGTTTGGTTATTAATATCGTATACCTACCGTCATCTTTCCCGTAATTCGTGTATCTGTGATGTAGGAACACTACTGCAATAACCCAAGAAGACTGAATTTTATTTTAAGTGGAACGGCGTTTCCGCTGATGCTCTGTACACTCCTGTAACAGGATCAAACGCCCGGATGTAGCTTGCTTTTGTTTTCATATTTCACTTGTATATTCCCGGATGAGCTGAGATCGCTACGACTCCTAAAGAGAAGACTGCCTTTAGTGGCCTAAGCTATCATTCTATTGTTTAAAATATGTTATATTCTAAAATTGTTCTATTGTTTAAAAAGCTGAGTATTTTTCGAAATGGACAGTTAGTTGTCGATTATTCATTATCATGAAGAAACATTTCAATTGATTTGCACTTGCAATTCACCGAACTAATTTTTATATATTGACAAGGGAATAATTTCAATTTTTTGTCGGAAAAAATGTTCCCCCAGCGGGGTTCGAACCCGCATCATGTGATTTGTGGATGTCTAACAGTCAAAATCAGCCAAAGCAACACACTTCAGTACCGTGTGAAATTAACTTACAAATATTTTTAAATATTTGTATAATCCTTAAAAGCTCAGAACATAATATGTATAATGCTGTGTGACAGTATACATTACCTGAAACAATGTTCATAATTAAAGCAATTAGATAAACCTTTAACGGACACAAAACCACAAAATTACAGGGTGAACATATATATCTACGGTGGCCCATACCCGCCACTGGTGAGATCATTTCCCCCTGTAAACCTCTATATTTTATCTCACCAGTGGAAGTATCTGGCGGCCGCCAGATAAAATATAGAGGCATACAGTGAAAAACGATCTCACCAGTGGCGGGTAATGGCCACCGTATATATCCTTGTTCGGAGTTCTATACTATCCTATAATTCCCGTCTGTATGTATTTACAACGCGCAATAGGATCCCATGAAATTGTGGAGTGCCGTGTACCATGCATTGTAAATATGCTCGCGACGGAGCTTGGTGCACGTCAACAGTAACAGAGAGCGTATTCCGCGCGCATAATGCAAGTGCGACCAACAGTATAAATTCAGGCTGCAAAAAGATCTCGAAAATCTTCAAATATTTTCCATAAGAGAAAGTTTTGTCAAAGTGTAAAAGTATGGAGGTGTTTTATCCCCGCGTTTCTCTAATCCTTATAGATATTGGGACTCGGCTCCATCATTTTTCAGGAAATGGATAGTTGCTCGGTAAGTGTACTGACTGATACGAATGGCGTTGTTCTTATGCACACGAGTTTCAGATCTGCTTGAAAATATATCATCGGTATCCATGTAAATTAGACGACGTGAATATGTGATAAGAATGTGTTGACCAGTGTTAGACTACATTATTAACTACATCATGTCAGCTGTATTTGTGTATCAGGGTGTATGACACAGTCAATTGAACCAAGCGAATATCTATGCACTGGCCTGTGAGTCCCGTGAAGATTCCGTAAGAGTCTTCAACAACCCATGCTTGTCGTAAGAGGCGACTAACGGGATTGGGTGGTCAGGCTCGCTGACTTGGCTGATGCATATCATCGTATCCCAATGGCGTGGGTAGATGCTCATAATCTCAATGACTGGATTGTCTGGTCCAGATTTGATTATTCACAAACCGCCGTCATATAGCTGGAATTTTGCTGAGTGCGGCGTAAAACAACAAATAAACAAAACTGAACTAAGATATTATTACAGTTGTAGGCTTAGTCTTAGTTTGTTTGTTTGTGTGTGTGTGTGTGTTTGTGCACTCAGTAATATGACTGTGGTCTGAAAAGATGCCATATTCTCAATGGCTAGCATTGATTTCAGCATCATTGTGACATCAACATATGAAGCCCTCAAATTCAACATAGATAATCATATAATATTATAACCAAACTGACCTAATCTAACATCACATCAACCTCAGCTAACCTCACATCAACCTAATCTAACATCACAACAATCTAATCTAACATCACATCAACCGAATCGGACATGATATGCACATATGCAGCCTCGTTTTCGTAAACAAACGTCCGTGACGTCACACATGTCCCCAGTTTTAGCATTTATGTACGTGCTATACTGCGCCAAGAGTTTTACCAGATCACATCCTTTTACAACCAGGAACAACGGCATATTGTTTTGCCTGGGGATTGGCTAATATTATTGCATATATATATATATTTAAGGCGGAAATGGATCGTCAGTGTCGGATGTTCGCTTATTTTCAGCCGCAGCGTGGGCAATGCTGTGTCTGTAATGGCTGTCTGCTTTTGATCCAAAGATAAGTCTGATTGGGCATTCCGGTCAGTTTCTGAATGAAATGTTTAACTTAAAGTGCACTTGTCCGCAATATTTTTTACACTTTTTATACATGTGTTTTAAACACAGTATAGAGTGTTGTGGACATTAAAACATTCCCTGTTATGAATAATTTATAAAACAAGGAACGAAATATTTTGAAAGAGTGCGCTTTATTGTCGTAATTTCTTAAAAATAGTTGTGGAATCCCAGAAGAGACGGTGCCGCGTTGTCGCCCTACAAAACAAGCAGAAAATGACAAAACTAACCACAACGCGACATTGTGACCGAAAGGACAACATCCTCAGCGCGTGTTAAATATCTGTCATGTTGAAATAAAGTTACCTGGTTCGTCGCTACTTGTGTCCTCTTGGAGAAAGTCCCTAATTCTACTGTGTTATTTACACTTTGAGTCTTGGTGTTAATCACGTCAACTAAAATGTGTAGATAGCTCTTTATCACCAAAGGCTATGGTTAATATAACGTTATAGTTATTATAATTTTGCCAAGGGTGTTAATGACTGACATTAACATACGTTCATATATCACTTAATGATGCCTCATAGAAACAGTTCAGCAACCAATGCTTACGGTAAAAGGCGACTATGCTTGTCGTAAGAGGCGACTAACGGGATCGGGTGGTCAGGCTCGCTGACTTGGTTGATGCATGTCATCGATCCCAATTGTGTGGATCGGTGCTCATGATATCAATCACTGGATTGTCCATTCTCGATTATTTACAGACCGCCGCCATATAGCTGGAATATTGCTGAGTGCGGCGTTAAACAACAAACAAACAAACAAACAAATCATCGAAACAGATAGCCTTCTGTTTTCAATTATTGGTGTTCCATCAAAGATCTTATTATTTATATATATACATATACATATGTGTGTGTGTGGATGTGTGTGTGTGTGTGTGTGTGTGTGTGTGTGTGTGTGTGTGTGTGTGTCGTTCCATTTTTGTTCATAAAGCAATTTACGAGCTGCAATCGGTTTTCGTATCAGCAAAAAATATTTGATTCTATTTCTAGTGATAAATCAAAAGCATCATCCATCCTGTTTACCATGGTCTAACACTGGAGCTGATGTGAATGTGTTGGGGAGGTGTGTGACTGTATATATTGTCCGGGGCGATACTTCAGAGTCGAATTCTATGATATTCGATAAAATAAGTATCTTGGTCATCCTGGACTGGACTGATCTCTTGCAGCAGTTGGATGCGTCTGAAAGGTTAGATGTGTGACAATATATTGTCTGGGGCGATGCTTCAGGATCTAAGTATAAAACAGTCGATTAAACAAAAGTCATTGCTCCTACTTGCATATGACTATTTGGAGCAGTTCGAGGGATGAGTACGTGTCGGGGAGGTTGTTGTGTGGAGCAGTGATTCCAGGAATCACGTATTTCTCGTCATGGCCACACTTTCCCAAAGCTGAGTCAGTTCCTGCCGGAATCGAACACTACAGAAGCTGTAGAGGATTGGGTTGGAGACAGAGTTGATGAAATACGACCTCAGGAACACGTTGTAGGCGATGAATCCAACTCCGTGAAGGTCTTCAAACACGTTCTTGTTCACTGCTCTAGTTACCATCAGACCCAGATGGGGAAGAAAGCTCAGCACAAATACCAGAGTGATGAGAAACAGCATCCTTGTTGTCTTCTGAGGGCCTTTGTCACAATGTGACGATGTGCAGGTAGAGAAGGATTTTCTTCTCCCAAACGTGGAGAGCCTTCTGTTGGACTTTGATCCGAGAGTTGGTGTTGCTTCAAGTGGGCATGTATTGTCGTTCTTAAATGATTCCAATGTTGGCATTATACATGTACTTTCGGAATTGTTTGAATCAACCTTATCTAAAGACAAGTTTGGTTCACCTTTGGCCGACGGGCTATGAGCATCCTCCAAACTCTTTGCGATTGATGTCGGTGTGGCCTTGTGTTGGACCTTCCGTTCAATGGTTAGATCGCTTTCAGTGACATTATTCATACGTTTCTGTTGCCTGGCAACCCGCCGCCATATCAGACCATAGAGCACAGACAGACTCAATATACACGACATGAAGAGGATCATCTGACCTCCGTTGTAGATAAGAGGGTATTGTGTGTTGCTGTAATCGTCTGTTACAGTACAACGTGACCCGTTGATGCGAATGTCGTCTGTAGACACAGACCTCGAACCGTTTACAGCAGCAGCCGGAAGTGAAACTATAAAAGTCGTCAGGGAACAGACAGTGATTGTGACTTTGGCCATCAGTGGTGTCGTCTGCTTGTCTCATTGGCAGCAAATTTCTTGTACCTGTCCACAGCTATAGCTAACAGTATGGTCACTGAAGCAATAACTGAGAACGTTGCGAGTAATCGAAGCATCTTACACAATGTATACTGTCCGAATGTGTAGTTATATCGTATGTCTGCTATTTCAACGGGAATACAGACGACACATGTTGCGAGGTCAAACGTTGCCAGTGCTAAAATATAGCATCGGAGGGAACTCGCTTTAAATTTCACTAGATACACGTAGCAAACGAGTGAATTCCCCACGAACCCAACCAGCATCAAGATGGCAAGAAACAGGATGACCGGTAAGGAGTGGATGGCGTATTTGTTGTCATAGTGACGGAGATAAAGGTCGAGGTCGTGTTGAAGGAGTCTGGAGTTCATTTTGGACAATGGTGTTGAATGTGAAACCTGAATCAAAGAAATATTTAAAATGAATTTTGGTATTTGTTTCAATAACATGTATATTTCTATCATACACTGCCGGGCAAAAGAATGTATACACTTGAAAATTGGTTTTGACCAAAATATTACAACGTTTGTAAAAGGTTATTAGGCTGAAAACTCCCCGAAACACTGAAAACGTAAGGTCCGAAACACCTTACAATACCCGTAATAAATTCATCTCCATCGAATAACCATAGCTTGTTTTAATTTCATTTTTAGCCACCATCAAACATGGATGTATATTTTCTTCTGCCCGGCAGTTATAGGAATTTATCATCCAAAACTGGCGCCCACAGCAGATATCGTTTGGGTGAGATCAAGCGATATCTACACTGTATATATCGCTGCAATGAAATTGCATCACAATGCTTTGCAGACCATTGTGACATCAGTGCTTACCATGTCATCACTATCAAATGACATCACCAATGGCTCTGCTACTGAAGCTGTAAGCAGTACGCTTTACACTTAAGACACTGCTTATTACTGTCTACAAACTGAAACAAGTTGGAAGAATAATGTTGGATGATAAATGAAATCTCACCCCGTGTCTTTTGATATGAAATATATCAACACTCGTTGATAAAAGTGGGAAAAATCCTCGGCAAGCCTCGGAGTTTTCCCACTTTTATCAACTCGTGTTGATATATTTGATATCAAAAGACACGAGGGTGAGATTCTCTATATGCCCCTGAAATACCACCAGTGATCCCAAATAAATATCACATTAGTTACCATTCTTAACAAAACCAGTAACAATCTTTAGAACATAAATATAAATTGTCAACAGTTGCTTACACTAATCATATTTTAACATGACAAAAGTAAAACAAAACAAGGGAGAGCATGATGGTACGGCGCTACTTGATTATTGTATATAGTTTTAACATGTTTTAAGAAACAAGTAAATACTTCATGCAAGTCAATATTTTAAGTCTGTATTTAATATACTAACGGGAAAAAAGTAAATGTGCGTCATATAAAAGTCATGTCTTCATGAATATGTATTGGAAGAAGTATTATTTTATTTCAGAATTAATTTATATTTATTGAACTTTATATGAAGCACAGTCATGGGGGGGGGGGGGGGGGGGTTGCCTAGTGGTTACAGCGTTCGCTCGTCACACCGAAGACATGGGTACAATGTGTGAAGCCCATTTCTGGTGTCCCCCGCCATGATATTGCTGGAATATTGCTAAAAGCGGCGTAAAATCAAACTCACTCAACTCACTATTTACATTGCCGTTCATTGGTGTTAACATAGCTTGATGACATGAATGAAAGGGGGCAAAAACATGCTCACATTTGACAACTTCAAATATGTGTAAACGTAGTCCAGATAAGACAATTTTCGAATTCTCTTCTATCGATTTATTATTGTAACATCAAATTAGGTATGTTCTCTGATCTGATTGGTTAAAAAGTGTTGTCGAATGAGCATAACATCATTGAATTGTTTTGATCTCATCACCGTGTATATATGCATTATCTCAGAAAAATATAAAATCTCAAGATATTTAAATGCAATAATAATGGTGTGTGGTAATTACATAGGAAGCTTATTTGAATCGATCTAGTTGATAATATTCATGTTGATAAGCAAACTGCAAAGAATTACCGTATCTTCCGTAATTTAGGACAACAATTAGCTTAAAACGCATGATCAATCCAATAATTGCCTCACTCTTTTCAGATACACTGACGGACAAAAGAAACTTTACCATAGTTTGAAATCACTCCAGTTTAAAAAACCGCAACGACAGATGCGTGAAGTAAGATTTATTGAAAAGATAAAAAAATCTCAACGAAATCACCATTTAAAACGACAGTCATATAGTATCCGACATAAGCATGACAATTGCCCGAATTGAGAAAAATCAAGCTTTCAAGGTAATGGGGCACACACACCTAAATGTCCCCAATCCCCATCCCAGCCCCCACCCCAGCCCCCACCCCAGCCCCCACACCAAAAGGAAATCAAATCTTACTACACATGCTTCACTTACCTAGAACGTCCCTGTAGGATGTGCATCAGTAGAGAGGAGAGCAATGCTATCGCACCAACAACTAAAACGCTCAACGTGTTGAGAAACTCAGTTCACTCTGGAGTAATGTTAACGGATGGTGATAGGGTTGACAACGATTTCTGAAGGGGCTACTTACATGACACCGACCGGATGTATTATTTATTGTTCACATGCAGATAAAATTAAGTTTGTATAATACACCCTGTGTGACCCTTGACACCATATTATTAGGCCTTGTTATTTTGACATGAACTTCTTTGGATCCGTTTCGAAGGCCGGTAACAAGTTAGTTATGGGCGGACATCATACAGCATTCATGATGGGCTTGAATCCGTTTCGAAGGCCGATGCTGCTATTACAAGTTAGTTATGGGCGGACATCAGACAGCAGTCACTGTGGGCTTGGATCCGTTTCTAAGGCCGATGCTGCTATTGCAAGTTAGTTATGGGCGGACATCAGACAGCATTCCTTGTGGGCTTGGGTCCGTTTCGAAGGCCGATGCTGCTATTACAAGTTAGTTATGGGCGGACATCGGACAGCAGTCACTGTGGGCTTGGATCCGTTTCTAAGGCCGATGCTGCTATTGCAAGTTAGTTATGGGCGGACATCAGACAGCATTCATTGTGGGCTTGGGTCCGTTTCGAAGGCCGATGCTGCTATTACAAGTTAGTTATGGGCGGACATCAGACAGCATTCATTGTGGGCTTGGGTCCGTTTCGAAGGCCGATGCTGCTATTACAAGTTAGTTATGGGCGGACATCAGACAGCATTCATTGTGGGCTTGGGTCCGTTTCGAAGGCCGATGCTGCTATAACAAGTTAGTTATGGGCGGACATCAGACAGCAAAAATATGGTTTTGTAATATTGTCTGGCACTACTGAAGTTGAAAGCCTCTCATGATGCCTTCTTCTGCCTTTTCATAGCCATCATCATTCAAACAATATTTTTTTTATGATTTAAAAAATATATATTTTGAAATCTTAATTATTTTAATAAGGTGTTATCAGTATCTTTTGTTTATTTGTTGTTTAACGCCGCTCTCACCAATATTCCATCTATATGACGGCGGTCTGTAAATAATCGAGTCTGGACCAGTCAATCGCAATTGAGATACGATGATATGCCTGAGCCAAATCAGCGAGCCTGACCACCCGATCTCGTTAGTCGCCTCTTACGACAAGCATAGTCGCCTTTTCTACGGCAAGCATGGGTTGCTGTCATTAGTATCAAGGGAAGCCAAGAATGCATTTTGAGTTAATTCAAGAGTATGGTAAACAAGCAAATATCAAATGAATGTCCAATTTTACAATGTCGCATCGTATCAACATTAACAGTGACAACAAAAATGTACTCTTGTGACCTACCCGCCCGCGTGACGATCCACAAGTGAGAGTGCGACTTGGTTCGAATCAAATCAAACAGAATGAACCGTTATTGGTGCTATTACCGCCATGCAGTTTCACATTTGCTACAACACATAGTTCAATCTTTCTTTCTCTTATCGAATGTAACCTATTTAATTTATTTTTTTACTAATAGGCCTGCTCTTTTTGTTGGGTTTTTCGGATGTTTCTTCTTGTATTTTTCTTCTGGAATTTTTAGTTTTAATTCCTCATTAAAGTTTGGAATAGCTCACTTAAGACGTAAAAGAATGCAATGAGCGTAATATCATGTTGCCATAATACCAGATAATACCCCGAGTTGAGAAATGGTAGGGGTGAGAAAGCAACGGAAACGACGAAACCGCAATACAGTTTATACAAGAAGGTAGTGCCGAAGTGAAAAAAATAGTGAGGTGGTTTAGTGCCAGATTTTGCCATTATTGCTACAGGGTGGATGAAAGCACCAAACGTTGCATGTGAATGCCTTTTATCATTATAAGAAATGTTAGGACAGGAGCCATCAGTACAACTTAATTGAATAATGTCATGTCATATATCAAATGAAAGCTCATTTGTGTTCTTGTACGTATAGGTGATTTTAGCATTTTGTGACATGTCAGACAGACCTTGTCACCGTCCCCCTGACCTCTCTGCTCTGTGTGTGTTTGTGTGTGTGTTTGTGTGTGTGTTTGTGTGTTTGTGTGTGTGTGTGTGTGTGTGTGTGTGTGTGTGTGTGTGTGTGTGTGTGTGTGTGTGTGTGTGTGTGTGTGTGTGTGTGTGTGTGTGTGTGTGTGTGTGTGTGTGTTTTGTGTGTGTGTTTTGTGTGTGTTGAATTGTGCGTGTGAAACACAAACTGTCCGTTGAATGGTGTAGCCTTTCCCTCCTGCTAGAGAAAGAGTGTTTTCACAGCAAATAACATTGACCACAATCCAAGTTGGGCGATTTCAGTAAACTCCTGAGGCATAAGGTTATTTCAGTTTCCTACCGAGATTAATTTTGGTGAGATTTAACCGTCATCAATTCCTGGCGTTCTCTCCCCGACAGTTATGCCTACGTTCCAGCTGTGGCACTGAAGACAAATGTTGTGAATGTACCTAGAGCTGCTTGTGCGAGGCCCAGTCACAGGAATTGAACTGGATTGAGCATGCACTGTTCAGGAATATCTGAAGGTCGAGGATGTTATTGCGTTGTCAGCGTATCATGCGTCCCAACTTCCTCTGGATAATCCATCATCATTCCTCTTTTGTAACCAGCCATGGTTAAGATTGGGATGAATGTGATTAGACGGGCTGCAGTGTTTCCTAACCTTGGGCAGATTCCTGTTACTTGCCTTGACAAACCCTTGTTTGCCTTTGCCAAGTACAGTGGGAATGGCCAATGATTCACGGATAACAAGTGCATTGGGATGACTGCACACTGAAAAGGCTCTTTGGAAGACAATCGAAGACCTACTAAATGGATCTAGCTGGACAACAGCTCTGACAGAAGAATATGCAACAGATTCAGTCCTGAAGGCATCACATCTGACCATGACCAGACACTACCACGAAGTTACGCTCTTGGCCATTCACAATCTGCAGGATGACGCTTACCTTCTTTCAGGAAGTTCCAGTGATGATTGTACTCTGTAATCCTGGAAAGACAAGATGTGTCAAAAGCGTACTACATTTATGAAGTGGAACCTCCTCCTGCAACTTGAAACTGACTTTCTCTTGTTAATCCTGGCTCACAGAGAAGGAAATTCCAACTATATGTGGAAGTCTTGGAACTGTTGACACCCTTGTTCTTTGCCCTCGACCACACTCATTATGAACGATGGACACCCATTCACATAAGAGACATGAATTCCTTACCAGAAGCAGAGAAGAATTTGAGAAGCATTACCATTGGGTAATCTCCAAAAAGAAAAAAACAGCTTTTCTTCTATACCATTGGATCGGGCTCATGAGCAGGAGAACAAGCAAGGCAAGAGTTCACGTCGTGCAGTTGGATAACGCCGGATGCTGTCAGGCCTGAGCCAGGTACATTAGATGAACAGTTTGAAGAATATTTCCTTGATGATGATCTACATCTTCCAGGCTTTCCACACAGGAAACATTTTGGACGCAGTTCCAGTGCCTTTCCGACACATTCTTCCCCGGGTCCCCACAGGGTTACCGAGTGCAAAGTCTGTCCTTCTTCGACGCTTTGAACAGTCAAATCAACAATAAACAGGAACCACCAGCTCCTTATGATTGCAAAATTCTGGATGGAGCAGTTGTTGTCCATTTTGCCTACTACAGGAATTCGCACATTTGATGATTTTGGTGGCTGTATTTTCATTCTATATCTCATTGATCAGTTCAGCATGCAAGGAAAGAGGACATTGAGTTGGAATCGTACATTCCCGTGAGCCTAAAAGATTCAACTCGTGAAAAGAGAGGAACAGGTATGCGCCGAAAGGTATCCCATCAAGCAACGATGCCTGTCATGTGTATGGACTTCAGAGGATTCTCAGATTAAGGAAGAATTATTTGAGTTCCTTACTTCCAAAGTTGCAGAATACCCATGGCCAGAAGCAAAAGCTGCCTATATTCCATCAAGAGCAACCTTGAAATCCAAGGGCAATTATTCTCTCACCTCCATGTCAAATTACAATCAGTATGAAGCAGACACAAGGATTGTTATTCATGCTTTGTATGATTTGGCCAATTGTCCGATTTGACTTACATATACACATAATGGATACAGATGCTTTGGTCATCCGAAGTGGAGGTGAGGTGAAATGGGGTTTATCGTTGCGTACAAGATTATTGCGATGTACGTGTGTGTGTTTGTGTGGCTGCGTGTACTAGTCCGGACTCATGCCGATTTATAGTGCTAGCTCACTGACATACCATCCCCAGTTAGCCCCGTCTTTTTGTATGACGCGGCCGATGATCGAACCCCGGACCTTCCGCTCTCCGGAAGGATGCTCTACCTCTAGACCACGGAGGCCGTCCATCTTAAGTGGAAAATTCATGACATGAATGCGACTAAATCCCAAGTTGATATATGTGTTGCCTTTGGAATGGGAAAGAACTTTACTTACTTTCACATCAATAACATTTGTAACCCTTTGCATGGCAAACTTGGATGAAGTCACAGAAACTGGTCACTTGGAAGTGCTTGATCCTTTTACTATTGTCATGTTTGACAAGACAATCACTGAGGATGGATCTCTTCTGCCACACAATTCGACAAGCTTTTCCCAACTCAAGAAGCCTTGCTACACAATACCTGCTGTATAGTTCGTCAAGCAGGAACAACCAGCACACAAGCACAACAGCACTCTCCATCCCCTGAAGGTTTTGGGTGGACCAAAGTTGGTGCATCATGGAATCCAGTTTTGATTACAAAATGTAAATGCAAATCAAAATGTGTCACTTGTAAATGTATTAAATCTCGTTTGGACTGCACATCAGATGCAAATGCTCTGAACTGTAGTCATAAACTTGTGTCACCTTAACATCCATTTGACTGACTGCCTGTCTTCAGTAGTTTTAGAATTTAATACATTTTGTCTCTTTGGACATTTTATTTCCCCTCCGTCTATGAATGTTATCGATAATAGCATTATCGGTCAGAGTATGAAAAGACCTTCCATTTGATATGTAACATGTTACACCTGTAAGATTAGAATTTCCACTAATTCTTACATTGCCGTAAAAGTGGCGGCCATATTGGATTGTAATGGCTACCTGAAGTAACAAATATATTTCAAAGTGGCTCCTATCATATAACTAATCAGTATCGGTATCAGTGTGCCCAATTTGGTGCCTTTATCAACCTTGTAACAGTAATTTGGTTAAAGGGCAAGTTCACAAGGAAATGAACCTATTTTTCGTGTACTTTTTCCACATTAAAAGTGTTAACCTAGTAGTGTCATAGACAAAAATATAAAAATATCACAATTAATTAACATATTTTTTGCATTAAAACGATTTATATTTTTCACATTTACCAAGTGTTCTATTTCCAGAACAAAAAAAACCCAGGGTTATGCCCCTTGCAATATGACGTCATTGGTGCCAATTGATAAACATTATGACGTCATCATGCTTTGTTAGAGCCGCTTCACGTGGTGTAGGTACAGGTGTGTGATTCTAGCGTCTCAGATGCCAGCCAGCATAGTGTTATGCTGAGTCACCACTGCGCCGGAGTGTGTCGTAGGCCATGTTGTTTTACCGCAAACTGGTACTTGATATCTTTTGCGTTGAGAATAGACAGGGACCCAGTTGAATTGGCACCAATTACGTCATAATCTAAGGGGGATAACTCTGGCCTGTTTAGCTCGAAAAACGAAGGCCTCATAACGGCATAGCATTTTCACACTATTGTGAGCTTCCTACTTTCACTGTGAAAAAAATGAGTTTATATTTTCAAACACAGATACTAACTAATTCTAAAATTGCGTTTTGTTTAGAAAAAGAAAGAAAGTGATTTTTGCGTGTACACTTCCCCTTTAAGTCCCCGTGGCTATGCTCGTCGTAAGAGGCGACTAACGGGATTGGGTGGTCAGGCTCGCTGACTTGGTTGATGCATGTCATCGTATCCCAATTGCGTGGATCGATGCTCATGATGTCAATCACTGAATTGTTTGGTCCAGACTCGATTATTTACAGAACGCCGTCATATAGGTGGAATATTGCTGAGTGCGGCGTTAAACAACAAACAAACAAACAAATCATAGAAACAGATAGCCTTCTGTTTTCAATTATTGGTGTTCCATCAAAGATCATATTTATATATATACATATACAGACACACGCATTTTGTGTATATGTGTGTGTGTGTGTGCGTGTGTGTGTGTGTGTGTGTGTGTGTGTGTGTGTGTGTGTGTGTGTGTGTGTGTGTGTGTGTGTGTGTGTGTGTGTGTGTGTGTGTGTGTGTGTGTGTGTGTGTGTGTGCGTAATCACAGCAGAACATTTTCAACAAATAATCGTTTCATTTTTTTCATAAGGCAATTTACGAGCTGCAATCGGTTTTCGTATCAGCAAAAATATTTCATTCTATTTCTAGTGATAAATCAAAAGCATCATCCATCCTGTTTTCAAAAGACTAACATTGGAGCGGATGTGAAAGTGTGTCAATCACTGAATTGTCTGGTCCAGACTCGATTATTTACAGAACGCCGTCATATAGGTGGAATATTGCTGAGAGCAGCGTTAAACAACAAACAAACATTGCACGCATGAACTTAGCATGTCTAATTGAGGCGTCTTAGACGTACTGGCCACTCGTGTCCCCTAACTGCCAGTGTATAAGAAGTGGCGTCATTGTTTGTATTTGGGGTAAGTACAGTGATCTCCCTTTGCCAACATTGAACACGCACAATGCGGTATTTTCAACTTTTTAACCACTCTATTTGTTTAGTATAGCATATCCCTAAATGCAAAATACGGTGCAATGGAAATCATGTTACTTTTATACTGTCAGTAAAAAATAACTAAATTTCATTGTTTTAATGGTCAGCTATAACATATGTATGTCAAACACCAATAGTGGAATCATGCACAGAAAATCACAATGCGAAGAAATAGGATTGCATGTAGATATTCTTTATACAAATACAATTTAGAACAATATTATCCATCTGGCAATATAAAGCATATTTACTACTAGGCTATGTCAAAACACAGAATATGTGCGTGCATAATTACGCAATTATCATATGCAAGCAAATGTATTTTAGTGATGAGTAACAATCTGTAATGAGAAGTAGTCGACGTATTTGTGTATTGCCATGTAAATGTAGTTCATGAGATGTAATCTGTGTAATTAACACAAACTTTGACAATGACAATACACTACACATCGATTACATTACACACTCTCTGTTATGTTAAAGTTCTTCACGTCAACGAGATTCATGCGTTGTTTGTGTTCATCAAAGACCTTATATTTACAAGCTGTTGACATACACCAGTCTTCTCATATACAAATCTGTTTTAGTTTTACATACATGATAAATGTAACATCTGCCTACATGTTTAACTTGTGTAACATCCTCTGACAATTTGTGGAACTTCAAATATTTAGATTATGTGTTATTTATGTTAGGTTTTATTAAATATAAACATTTGGACTTACATCAGTCATTCGTGACCAACTCGTGTTATTCGTGAATAGCGACTCGTGGCCATTTTTGCGACCGGGTTCCGTCTTAGCGCAAACGGGCATAACTAAAACAATTGTCAATTCGTTGCGTAATGGTTCACATATATTTCCCCATATATTATATATATTTCAGATGCCTTTTAAAGCACATCGGGACGTGTGGAATTATACAGTATGATTGAACACATTTAACTGTGTCTTGGGAATATTTTTAGATGCAAGACATATGTAAAATCAAAAATTATTTCTGAGGGATTCTTTGACGAAGTACTTGAAATCATACGCGCACTCTGATGGGTTTGTCGTATTTTCGCACATAACATTCATCGATAGGGGGACGAGTCTTCTTGCAGGTTACGGAAAGGGGCGAGTGCTGACGAATGTTACATCAGTGTGTACAATTCGAAGCGAAGGAAAGGCCATGATAGTGTGCATTTCTCTGCGATTTTACGACCGCTTGACATCTCTCAAATATGTTCAACCAAAAGCTGTGTGAGGTTAATAGGAACTAGGGGGTGGGTTATCGGGGTATCAAATGTAACGTTGGGGTACGTTATCGGAATTCAAACCATTATGGTGACGTCATGCCCATTCTGAAGCGATTCTGCATTTCATATAAAACTGACGCAAGTATAGGTCATTTTGCAAAATTATAGATAAATAGATTAAGTCAAAGAAATCACTCGAATCTGTTTTTTCCGATAGCAGAATCAACAGATTCTCATGATTTCCTCATTACATAATTTTACTCTCCACGTGACCCAAATGACGAACGCCCATTGGCTCCGAGCCTTTAGCTATGCCCTAACCTTTGTTGGAACCTGACGTGTTCCGAATACTTGTAAAATAATAAATTGCAGGCATGTATAACTGTTTATAAACATTTAGGAATTGTTCTATAAATATAGTAATGGTAAGCTTTCCCACACAAGACATTGGCTCCGAGCCTTTAGCTGCGCTCTAACGTTTGTTGGACTCTGAAGTGCCACATCTGATTCGGAAGTGCCACACCTGACGTGTTCAGAATACTTTTAAAATAATTATAAATTGCAGGCATGTATAACTGTTTATAAACATTTAGGAATTGTTCTATAACATATGGCTTCCAAAGAGCATTTTCTGACAAATCCTGCTATCAAACCGCGATTCACTTCGTTGCAATGAAATCGTTTCATAATCGCTCACGATCATTGTTTCTTTTGTGATTAGTGATAAACACACACAGCTAGTTGTCTTCAGTGTTTCCTCTATGGTTTACTAAGCGCTAATGGCTTAATGTGCCTTGGCTCTAAAATCTCTTTTGCCAGCCTGTCTATTGTTTTATACAATTCCGACATATTCTTAAGCTTGTGTCCCTATTTACCTCGCGTCAACCTTTTCCACAGCAGTGTCACTTCCCGGCGGAACAGAGGATTACAGAAGTTGTAAATGATAGGATTCGAGACACTGTTGATGAAGTACGATCTCAGAAAAATATTGTTAGCTGCTATCCCAGCTCCTGGAAGGTCGTCAAACACGTGTTTGTTGACAGCCCTGGTTGCCATCAGACCCAGATGCGGGAGGAAACTCAGCACAAACACCAGGGTGATGAGGAACAGCACGAAGGTCGTCTTCTGACCTCTTGGACGTTGTGACGATGTGCTGGCGGGGAATTTGTTTCTTCCGCACTTGGAGGGCTGGCTGCTCGGTGGGGATACAGATGTTATGAGTTCAGGGGCGTCTGGACATGGTTCTGTTATGCGTTCTGATGTAATTGCAGAAAGGTTGGAATCACTTCTCTCGGAACATGACAGGTTTGTTTCACCTGTAATTGGCGGATGTTGGACATCTGACGATGATGTATTGTTCTGAGTTGGTACCATTTCCTGTCTGTCATCCTTTTCCAGTTTTTGTTTAGTTTTATTGACGGCTTTCATTCGTCTCCGTTGCCGGGCAACCCGCCGCCATATTAGACCATAGAGTACAGAGAGACTGAGTGTTGAGGAGATGAAGATGAAAAACTGGACTCCATTGAAGATGAGAGGGTAGGGCGTCCTGATGTAGTCGTCTGACGTAGAGCAGTCTGAACCGTTAATATTGATGTCATCTGTTGCAACTACTCTAGAGCCATAGATGATAGCACTGGGCAATGACACGACGACACTCATGAGCGAACCCACGGTAATCGTAACCTTTGCAATCAAAGGTGTCATCTGTTTTTTAAACGGTCGGCATATTTTCCTGAACCTGTCCACAGCAATGGCTACTAGAGTAAACCCTGAAGCAATAGCTGAGAACGTTACAAGGATTCGCAATATCTTACACAGTTTATACAGCCCAAATGTGTGGTGATGCCTTATATCTGCTATCTCTGTGGGAATGCAAATCATACACGAAATAAGGTCAAAGGTTGCCAATGCTACAATAAAGCATCGGGTGGAACTCTGTTTAAATTTCACAAGATACACATAGAAGACGAGGGAATTCCCCACGAATCCAACCAGCATCAAGATGGCAAGAAACAAGATGGCGGGCAAGGCCTGTAGGGCGTATTTGTTGTCATAGTGACGAAGATAAAGGTCAGGGTCGTGTTGAATGACACTGACGTTTATGTTGAGTCTCAACTCCACAGACATGTTTGGTGAACTGAATGAAAAAAAGAAAACCGTTACCGTATTAAAGTACATTGAGAAATATGTAACGATAATATTATGTTTTTCAGGAGAGGTGAGGCGAAATTGGGTTTAAGCGTCAAAGATTATTTCACTTAAAAAGCGATGAGCATGCACGGTGTGTGTGCGTGTCTGTGTGTGTGTGCGTGTCTCTCTGTGTGTGTGTGTGTGTGTGTGTGTGTGTGTGTGTGTGTGTGTGTGTGTGTGTGTGTGTGTGTGTGTGTGTGTGTGTGTGTGTGTGTGTGTGTGTGTGTGTGTGTGTGTGTGTGTGTGTGTGTGTGTGTGTGCGGCTGCTTCTACTAGTCCGGACTGATGCCGATTTATAGTGCTAACTCACTGTGATAGCATGCCGCAGTTTAACATGAATATCCCACTGACACAGTATCCTGACTCCGAACTGACCATAGCCAGTGCTTCTTTTAGCCACTTAATGCCGATCGCGAGACTGGGTAAGAACCTACCATTTTTTAAACGTCTTTTGGTATGACGCGGATGTATTTATGTAAGTAGAACTAATGTGTGGTGTAATCACCTTAACAAATAATAAACATTACACACGTACATGAAATTCAAAACAACAACAGATTATTCTTATTTTAAGTCTTCACTTACCCAGGGCTTCCCTTGCAAATTCTTCTATAAATGTATCCTAACGCATCGACAAGTATAATAACCTTTGATGTGGCACAAGGATACAATTTCAAACAGGATAAACTTGACTTGGGCCGAAAGGATGTGGTATGCGATTGTTATCAACTGGTTAATTATATGTCATTCTGCTGTTGTCATATTGCCAGTGGACCTTCCCAGCACAAGCCTGCTGAAACAGCCTGGGAAGAGTTGGTGGGGGTTTACACTATTGTGTCAGAACTTCTTGGAGAATGATATAATATGCAAAAGCTATTCGGTACTTATTTGAAAAGTAGAGGGGGCACGGGTGGCCCAGTCCGCGCTTTTCGCTGTTCAGAGTTGCGTCCCTTGGGCACGCCAGAAACCTATGATTGTGGGTTCGAATCCCGGCTCGCCCCGATTATGTTTCTAGGTTAGTCAGCACCATACCCGTGCTCGTGGGTTTCACCGGAGTAGTAAACGTCTGAGACCTGCATCACTTCGGTCTTTCCTTCCACATTAAGCTGGCACGCCGTGATATAACTAGAAAACTGTTAAAAGTGTGTTAAACCAAACTCACTCACTTACTAAAAAAGTAAAGTTTGTACTGGATCATGAGAAATTATGTGTAGATATTGTGCTGCGCTGCGAATTATGTGTGCTCACGATCGGCATTTACGGTTTGAACTTGTCACGGATTCTTTGTTATGCTGATGGGCTCCAGTACAAGCCTGTCCTTCGTGTCGACATTGTTCAACCTAGAGCTGCCATCCAGGACAATTTTCACTTAAAAACATTTATCTACCGCCATTTGTCTCAAAGGACAAGTTTCATCTTGATAATTACCTGTCACCAGGTGCCACCTAGACAATTACCCACCACCAGGTGCCCCTAGACAATTACCCACACCTGGTGGCACCTAGACAATTACCCACCACCAGGTGCCACCTAGACAATTAACTTCCACCAGGTACCACATAGACAATTACCTGCACGAGGTTCCACCTAGACAATTACCCACTACCAGGTTCCACCTACACAATTTACCAATCACCAGGTGCCACATAGACAATTACCCACCATCAGGTGGCGCCTAGACAATTATCCATCACCAGGTGCCACCTACAAAATTATCCACCACCAGGTTCCACCAAGACAATTACCCATCACCAGGTGCCACCTAGACAATTACCCACCACCAAGTTTCACCTAGACAAGTACCCACCACCAGGTGCCACATAGACAATTACCTACCACCAGATGCCACCTAGACAATTACCTACCACCATGTGCCACATAGACAATTACCTACCACCAGGCTCCACATAGACAATTACCTACCACCAGGTGCCACCTACACAATTACCTACCACCAGGTTCCACCTTGAAAATTACCTTCCACCTTGTGCCACATAGACAATTACCTACCCCCAGGTGCAACCTACACAATTACCTACCACCAGGTACCACATAGACAATTACCTACCACCAGGTTCCACCTGGACAATTGCCTTCCACCTGGTGCCACCTAGACAATTGCCTACCACCTAGTTCCACCCAGACAATTACCTACCACCAGACGCAACATAAACAATTACGAACCACCAGGTTCCACCTAGACAATTACCCACCATAAGGTGGCATCTAGACAATTACCCACCACCAGGTGGCGCCTAGACAATTATCCATCACCAGGTGCCACCTACACAATTATCCACCACCAGGTTCCACCAAGACAATTACCCATCACCAGGTGCCACCTAGACAATTACCCACCACCAAGTTCCACCTAGACAATTACCTACCACCATGTGCCACATAGACAATTACCTACCACCAGGCTCCACATAGACAATTTCCTACCACCAAGTTCCACCTAGACAATTACCTTCCACCAGGTTCCACCTTGACAATTACCTTCCACCTTGTGCCACATAGACAATTACCTACCACCAGATGCCACCTAGGTCAATTATCTACCACCAGATGCCACCTGTACAATTACCTACCACCATGTGCCACATAGACAATTACCTACCACCAGGCTCCACATAGACAATTTCCTACCACCAAGTTCCAGCTAGACAATTACCTTCCACCAGGTTCCACCTTGACAATTACCTTCCACCTTGTGCCACATAGACAATTACCTACCACCAGATGCCACCTAGGTCAATTATCTACCACCAGGTGCCACATAGACAATTACCTACCACCAGGTGCCACCTACACAATTACCTACCACCAGGTTCCACCTTGAAAATTACCTTCCACCTAGTGCCACATAGACAATTACCTACCCCAGGGTGCAACCTACACAATTACCTACCACCAGGTTCCACATAGACAATTACCTACCACCAGGTTCCACCTAGACAACTACCTTCCACCAGGTGCCACCTACACAATTATCTACCACCAGGTTCCACTTAGACAATTACTTACTACCAGCTGCCACATAGACAATTGCCAACCAACAGGTGCTACCCAGACAATTACCTACCACCAGATGTCACCTAGACAATTACCCACCCCCAGGTGCTACCTAAGACAATTATCTAACATCAGGTTCCACCTGGACAATTACCTACCACCAGGTGCCACCGAGACAATTACCTACTACCAGGTGCCACCTAGACAATTACCTACCACAATGTGCCACATAGACAATTACCTACCACCAGGCTCCACATAGACAATTACCTACCATCAGGTTCCACCTAGACAATTACCTACCACCAGGTTCCACCTAGACAATTACCCACCACCAGATTCTACCTGGACAATTACCCACCACCAGGTGCCACCTCGACCCCCTTATGCCACCTAGACAATTAACTATCACTATACGTCACCTGAGACAATTATCAACTTCACAATTACCCAACGCCAGGAGTCAGTTAGACATGAATACAATGAAGGTTCAGCTAAACTGATGCTAAGAGCGTTTTTAAAAGATAAATAAACAGTCCTGTATTTCAGAAAAAAAAGATTGCAATTAAATTAAACTCGACAAGCTGACAAACAGCATACTACCACGACACGTTAAGCTTAAGGGTGTGCAAACTGTAGTATTACTTTTTAACTTTTACACAATTCTGTCAAGATAATCAAACCTGTGCATCGGACAAATGGAAATGTGAATAAAAACGACAAACCTCCTTCCTTCACGCTGACTTGGACCTCATCTGAACGTATTTCATCGCAACAACGGATGCGTGTTCTTGTTTAATAATGATTAGATATCTTACACATGCAGGAGGTGATCATTTCCTATTCCAAACTCGGACATATCAGTACACGACTTCACTTTCATCCTGTCATCTCTTACTTCCGGTTCACCACACGGAGGGAAAACGCTACAATGGGACAATAATACTCAAGGAATACAAACGTTAGCACTGATGAAGTGGGACTTGTCCGATTACCACTATGCGAAGTTAAACATAACACGCCAGGAGAATAATCAGTCTCGATTATGTGCCAAATCAGATTCTTCATGCATTAGAGGTAAAAGGAAAAGAGTGGTGAAAATTATTGAATGGATCTCTGAAAATCTGTGATGACCCCGACTGTTAAACTACGTGTGCCGTATTCTTCTAAAGACGTCTGATTGACTAAAACCAATATAATTTAATTTAATAAATTTAAATAAACGCTTGTATAACAGTAAATGAATGGTGAGATTAAGAAACCATACAAATAAAACCGTAATAAAACACAATGTTAATAATGAAGTCGAGCAGGACACGCTCACCCTTTCGTCAACGCCTGGTATCATCCCTTCTCCGATAGTAATGACACCGTCAGAAAACCGTGTCAGAATCCTCATCGAAACGTCGCTAAATATACTAACCCAAAAGTTATTATCCATGAAGTTGTATGTTTTCTCATGTTATTCGTATGAATCGGAATTGCCAAAATAATTTTTAAAAACTTGGCCACATTGAGACCGCCTCATCTGACTTCAACTTTCCAATAGTCAACTTACCCTTTATGTTGAGCAATATTCCATCACTTCCAGTCTTTGGTGTACAATGATCTTTGTACGAAGATTTCAGAGAGCGTCGTACGACTCATGATTAAAAGTTGTTCGAACAAGGTAACAACAGAAATGAATAGAGTAACGCTTTCAAAAGACATGTGAAGGTCTTTTCCAAATTCGACGCACCAAGAACCAAATTGATGTCCGATGCAATTCCCAATTTTGGCTTGCATCAGATGTTCCCGTATTGCTCAGGTGAATTCTTTTGGCTTGCCTTTGCATGTGTTTTTGACGGGTGCCACATGTGGGATAGGATACGCTCACCTTTTTCGCGAGCACCTGGCATCAGCACTAATTGAAACTGATACACAGACACATTCGTATGATAT